AAAAACGCTCAACAACCGCTCAAATTCTTGCGGTGATTTTTGAACGGTTTTTCAAGCAAGATTTGAGCGGTTTTTAACCGGTTTTTGAGCGGTCTTAGAAAGAAAACCGATTAAAACCAACAAAAAGGCCTGGAAAGTAATGTGACGCTAAAAAATACTACCCGGGTTGACCTCCATAAACTGAAAATGCTTATCTTACATTTCCCCACACCGAAAATGCTTATCTTACAATTTCCTACATCAAATGTATGGAAAATTGATATTCATACAATTTTCATCTGTCTGGTAAAAAAAAACTACGTTTAATTTTTTTGGAAAAAAATGGTTATCCTACAGTTTCCATATATGAAACATGTATGATAACCATTTTTTCATGAAAGGCAAGATCTTCAGAAACTTGTCAAAACTTGTTTATAAACAAATTTAAATTATTTAAGAGTACTTTTGCTCAATTTAAAGCACATTGCTCATCAAAAACAAAAATTTAGTTTGAAGCTAATAAAATGGTTTTCATACAATTTCCATATATGAAAATTGTGTGATAACCATTTTTTCATATCAGGCAAGAGATTTGTTTGTATGTTTGTATGTATGTATGTATGTATGTGTGTATAGATGTATGTACGTATCTTTGTATATATCTCTGAACGATTTTTTTATATATATCAAAAAACGCTCAAAAAACCGCTGAAGATTTGAGCGGTTTGACGTTTTTTTTTAGACAATTGCGCTCAAAATCTTGCTTCTAAATAAGCGGTTTGAGCGATTTTTGAACAGTTTATCTGAAAACAAAAGGGGAAGGTTTGAACGGTTTTGAGCGGTTTATTTAAAAAAACTGCTCAAAAACCGCGCAAGATTTGAACGGTTTTTGAGCGGTTTATCTAGAAAAAACCGCTCAAATCTTGCGCGGTTTTTAGATAAACCGCTCAAAACCGTTCAAATCTTGCGAGGTTTTTGAGCGTTTTTTTTTAGATAAACCGCTCAAAAACCGTTCATATCTTGCGCAGTTTTTGAGCTTTTTTTTAGATAAACCGCTCCAACCGCTCAAATCTAGCTTCAATTTAGGTGAAAAATCTCGACTCGGGCAGCGCTGCGTTGAAATTGCTCGATTCAGAATGGCTAGAAATTTTCAGCTTTGAACGCAATTAAAATACTTTACGGGGAATGCTGCTAACTTGGATCATTTTTAGTAAAACGGCTAAAATAGCTAACAAGACGGCTCGTATCAGGGCGAAGCCCTGAATGTTCCGACTGCCTTTTAAGGTTTATGTAGCAGTAACAACATTAAAAAATTAAATGTTATAAAATAAAATGAAAATTTTTTTTTCTAATATTTGAAATTTTTTATGAAAATCATCCCCCCACACGCCATATAAAGTACGAAAAAATAAATTTCGCTCCTTGTAACAAATCAATTATGACTAATAAGCTTCTTTCAACCAATTTGGAACAATTTCCAAGACGGATTAACTCTCCGCTTACGCGTTAATAGCGCGAAATATATCGCGCGTTAATTGTCCCAAATTGGCCAAAATGGCAATCTTTAAACCCCCATAACTTTACAAAAAATGATCACAAGTGAAATATCAATTCAAACTTGAGCTCATGACAACAATAGCTTTCGAATGTTATAAAAAAATTTCCCTCACAAATGGCTAGTTAAAAAGTCGAAATTTGTCTGAAGAAAAAAAAACCCACCCGAGCACAAATATTCCGTTACTTTCGTATCGAAAAACGGAATAATAATGACACACCCTTGTGAAAGGCAGACTAAGCATCCGTGAGCACTTTGCTATTTAGGAAATCATAAGAACTGATATGAAAAAAAACTCTTAAAATTTTACCCAAACTAATGCAACAAACATGCAAACACCATTTTATTAAAGCAAGCTATAACGTTTGGAAAATAGATACATCCATAGCTCAACAGAACGAAAAAACGCTCTGAAAGTGTTTGCACCATATCTTTGAGAACCGAATTATATGAATCAATGCGAATTGTTTTTCTTAGCATTTGCGGTCTATGGATGTCCCAGCCCGAATGGTACTGCGAGAACTTAGCTCTGTTTTCGTACAAACATAGTTCGGTTTATTAGTCAGATGATTCAGTTGTCGGTTTAATTTTTTGTTAGCTCTGGTTTTAGTCATAATATGAAAAAGTAGGGCTGACCAGGTATATGCTTGCGTTCATTATTCAAATTGACAATTGAATTATTGTGTTTGAGTAATTGTTTTCATTAAAGTCAGTGAACTATTACGATTAACGCTTAACAATAACATAATAACTGAAAAAAGTCTGCAGGACCAAAACTTTCAATTGCAATGAGCAAACAAAGACTGCTACTCACTCCCTTTCTTATTTGGGCGGTTTGGTCGATTTTTTTTGGAAAAACCGCTCAAACCGCTCATATCTTGCTCAAAAAACCGCTCAAAAACCGCTCAAATTCTTGCGGTGATTTTTGAACGGTTTTTCAAGCAAGATTTGAGCGGTTTTTAACCGGTTTTTGAGCGGTCTTAGAAAGAAAACCGATTAAAACCAACAAAAAGGCCTGGAAAGTAATGTGACGCTAAGATGCACCTGAAATACTACCCGGGTTGACCTCCATAAACTGAAAATGCTTATCTTACATTTCCCCACACCGAAAATGCTTATCTTACAATTTCCTACATCAAATGTATGGAAAATTGATATTCATACAATTTTCATCTGTCTGGTAAAAAAAAACTACATTTAATTTTTTTGGAAAAAAATGGTTATCCTACAATTTCCATATATGAAAAATGTATGATAACCATTTTTTCATGAAAGGCAAGATCTTCAGAAACTTGTCAAAACTTGTTTATAAACAAATTTAAATTATTTAAGAGTACTTTTGCTCAATTTAAAGCACATTGCTCATCAAAAACAAAAATTTAGTTTGAAGCTAATAAAATGGTTTTCATACAATTTCCATATATGAAAATTGTGTGATAACTATTTTTTCATATCAGGCAAGAGGTTTGTATGTATGTTTGTATGTATGTATGTATGTATGTATGTGTGTATAGATGTATGTACGTATCTTTGTATATATCTATGAACGATTTTTTTATATATATCAAAAAACGCTCAAAAAACCGCTCAAGATTTGAGCGGTTTGACGTTTTTTTTTAGACAATTACGCTCAAAATCTTGCCTCTAAATGAGCGGTTTGAGCGATTTTTGAACGGTTTATCTGAAAACAAAAGGGGAAGGTTTGAACGGTTTTGAGCGGTTTATTTAAAAAAACTGCTCAAAAACCGCTCAAGATTTGAACGGTTTTTGAGCGGTTTATCTAAAAAAATGCTCGAAAACCGCGAAAGATTTGAGCGGTTTTTGAGCGGTTTATCTAGAAAAAACCGCTCAAATCTTGCGCGGTTTTTAGATAAACCGCTCAAAACCGTTGAAATCTTGCGAGGTTTTTGAGCGTTTTTTTTAGATAAACCGCTCAAAAACCGTTCATATCTTGCGCAGTTTTTGAGCTTTTTTTTAGATAAACCGCTCCAACCGCTCAAATCTAGCTTCAATTTAGGTGAAAAATCTCGACTCGGGCAGCGCTGCGTTGAAATTGGTCGATTCAGAATGGCTAGAAATTTTCAGCTTTGAACGCAATTAAAATACTTTACGGGGAATGCTGCTAACTTGCATCATTTTTAGTAAAACGGCTATAATAGCTAACAAGACGGCTCGTATCAGGGCGAAGCCTTGAATGTTCCGACTGCCTTTTAAGGTTTATGTAGCAGTAACAACATTAAAAAATTACATGTTATAAAATAAAATGAAAATTTTTTTTTCTAATATTTGAAATTTTTTATGAAAATCATCCCCCCACACGCCATATAAAGTACGAAAAAATAGATTTCGCTCCTTGTAACAAATCAATTATGGCAAATAAGCTTCTTTCAACCATTTTGGAACAATTTTAGGACGGATTAACTTTCCGCTTACGCGTTAATAGCGCGAAATATATCGCGCGTTAATTGTCCCAAATTGGCCAAAATGGCAATCTTTAAACCCCCATAACTTTTTGAAAAATGATCACAGGTGAAATATCATTTCAAATTTGAGCTCATGACAACAATACCTTTCGAATGATATAAAAAAATTTCCGTCAAAAATGGCTTGTTAAAAAGTCGAAATTTGTCTGAAGAAAAAAAAACCCACCCGAGCACAAATATTCCGTTACTTTCGTATCGAAAAACGGAACAATAATGACACACCATTGTGAAAGGCAGACTAAGCATCCGTGAGCACTTTACTATTTAGGAAATCATAAGAACTGATATGAAAAAAAAAACCTTTTTAAAATTTTACCCAAATTAATTCAACAAACATGCAAACACCATTTTATTAAAGCAAGCTATGTTTGAAAAGTAGATACATCCATAGCTCAACAGAACGAAAAAACGCTCTGAAAGTGTTTGCACCATATCTTTGAGAACCGAATTGTACGAATCAATGCGAATTGTTTTTCTTAGCATTTGCGGCCTATGGATGTCCCAGCCCGAATGGTGCTGCGAGAACTTAGCTCTGTTTTCGTACAAACATAGTTCGGTTTATTAGTCAGATGATTCAGTTGTCGGTTTAATTTTTTGTTCGCTCTGCTTTTAGTCATAATATGAAAAAGTAGGGCTGACCAGGTATAGGCTTGCGTTCATTATTCAAGTTGACAGTTGAATTATTGTGTTTGAGTAATTGTTTTCATTAAAGTCAGTGAACTATTACGATTAACGCTTAATAATAACATAATAACTGAAAAAAGTCTGCAGGACCAAAACTTTCAATTATATGAGCAAACAAAGACTGCTACTCACTCCCTTTCTTATTTGAATATTTGACTAGAAAAATTACTGTTTTTGAATGGCAGATTGGTTACATTACTCTTTTCATCAAGCTTGCATTTTATAAGTTTTGTATGAAGCTATATTAAAATGTTACTTCAAGTTCTTTGCTCCTTTGATTGTTTCTTATGACTTGATGTCTGATTTTTTTAGATGAATATTTAACACAATATTGAAAACCAAGAGAGCACATGCTTCGAATAGTTTCAATTGTATACGCGTATAAACTTTTTCTTTTGATGTATTTTGACTTGAAAAAAAGTTAACTTTCAACTCATTCTTCAAAATGAGCGATGGTTACGAAATTGTCAAAACTTCCAATGAAAAGTATGTGTGTTACAAAGTTCACGTAAAAAGTGATGACGAATCATGGTTCATACTAAAACGCTACACCGAGTTTCGGAATCTTTACAAAGAACTCAATTCTAAATTTCCAGACGCTAAATTCAAAATTCCACCGAAGAAATACATTCAAAAATTCAGCAAGAAAGTTATCGACGAGAGAGTTAAAGGATTGAATCTTTTTGTCGGCCAGGTTTTTATGACCCCAGGTGCCTTGGAGTTGGACAGCGTGGTGGATTTTTTCGACCTTAAAAAAGCTTTCAACAACAGCGACCAGATAGATTCCGAGAAACCTCTTTCGGAAACAGGGCCCGAACACGGCGAGGAAACCACCTTATATGGAAACAAAATGGATCCAACAGACTTTGAACTGAAAAAAGTGATCGGAAAAGGAGCTTTTGGGAATGTATTTCTGGCACAGCATAAGGAGTCTGGAAAACACTATGCTCTCAAGGTATACTTTTTCTAGAATATATAATACTTGGAAAATGGGTCCCTTAACAGACCAAGTTAAGATCCTTCACACTTAATTATTGTTCCGACTTTCGATACGTGCTCGGGGTGGGTTTTTTTTTCTTCAGACAAATTTCGACTTTTTAACTAGCCATTTTTGACGGAGTTTTTTTAATATCATTCGAAAGGTATTGTTGTCCTGAGCTCAAATTTGAAAAGATATTTCACCTGTGATCATTTTTCGTAAAGTTACGGAGGTTTAAAGATTGCCATTTTGGCCAATTTGGTACAATTAACGCGCGATATATTTCGCGCTATTAACGCGTAAGCGGAGAGTTAATCCGTCTTAGAAATCGTTCCAAATTTGTTAAAAGAAGCTTATTTGCCATAATTGGTTTGTTACAAGGAGCGAAATTTATCCTTTTGTTCTTTATATGGCGTGTGGGGGAATGATTTTCATAAAAAAATTTCAAATTTAAAAAAATATATATATTTTTTTCATTTTGTTTTATTTCAGTGAATTTTTTAATGTTATTACTGCTCCATAAACCTTAAAAGGCAGTCGGAACATACAGGGCTTCGCCCTGATACGAGCAGTCTTGTTTTAATTGTACATTGCTAAATAGCACTCCGAGTAACTTACGGGATTATGTTTGGCTGAAACTCTGTACTTAGAACTTCGTCTCTCTTTACAAAAGCTTTGAGATGGAGGATTTTAACCTGATCCCTCAAAATTTAATTAAAATTGTTTTTATCATGTAAAGTCGACAACGTTTCAAAAACTTTGTTTGTTTCTGAACCCTCCTGTCGTCTCTTTTTGGAAAAAAAACATGAAAAATCTATATAGGCTCTGCTTTGATCAATGTCCGGAATTTGCTTTGAGAGATGACCGCAATTTTGGCATATTCGAAAAAACTGAGATCAGTCTTTTTGATATCCATCGAGTTCAAATTTCAATTTCGAGCAATCTAAATATAATACGGCAACTCGCAATTTAATCACTGCCGCAGTAGCGCCAACGTGTTGCGAGCTTGCCTACAGAACAAATCGTGTACAAGATTTGGAGCCGGTTATCGCTGAGAGGCCGTGTTGCGAGCTTAGCGCGATCACCGTTAACCTTCTTGAACTAAATTTCTTAGGTTTCAATTTAATTTCCAAACTCTGCGAGCTGTTGCTTTCCTTAAACTTTGTCCCTTGTATTGTAGAAGTGCAAAAATTGCGAAAATAACGTTTCATAAACTGTTGGAAAGTTTTGATTTGAAAAAACGTGATTTTTAGAGCATGCTCGCCCTGCAAACTCATCCATTACTACATCCATTTTGTGGATCTCAACAAAAATGATATCTTTAAAAAGGGATCTCAACAGAAGAGAAGGAGTTATGTCGTATGGTGTTTTTTCTCCCGATTTTGAAATCTCAGTGAAAGCTATTTAGTAAAAGTTTTTCTCTATTTTCCAAATTGCGTACATCAGTCGGTGTAGTCGGAACATGTGCTACTTGCTCAGAAATTGGCTATCCTCGTCTTATTTTCGTTCAGGTGCTGCAGAAGAGCAGAGTGAAGTCGCAAATTGAGAAACAACATCTGATGAGTGAGCGCTTTGTGCTGCTGAGCAACCTCAATCACCCCTTTCTCGTCGCTTTGCACTATGCATTCCAGGTTATATGAGCATAAGTCTGGCCGACGGGCTCCTTTTTTACTTCCACTCGCATCTGAATTTTCGATCCAACTTAAAAAGAGGTGCTCGGCTTTTTGGACAATTTTAAAACGTTTTAATACTAATTTATGGGGATATGATTGGGCGGATTCTGGATTTTAGCCTTAGGTTCTGGTTTAAAGCACCGTTGGCTCGTAACGCTATCTATTTTCGTCCGGATATGATCGGGCAACTGTGACAAACAAACAGTGTATTCAGCCTGAAAGTCTTTATGAGATCAAACTCTGATCTATCTCAATCCGCTCGGCTAAACATTTGTTCAAAAGCGAGCGTCAATAGACACAATTGTAAAGACATTTGTGTAATTGTGGCTTTAGACGCCGGTCAAGCTGTACTTCGTGCTTGACTTCGTGAATGGAGGAGAGCTGTTCTACCACCTGCAGAAAGAAAGGAGCTTCGGAGAAGAGCGGACCAAGTTCTACGGCGCCGAGATTGCATGCGCCTTGGGCTTTCTTCACTCGAGACACATTTTGTACAGGTAGTACTCTGCTCTTGCTCTTACTCTTTTTTCTACAGGTACATTATTTCTAAATTGAACTGAAGAAGAGCTCAAATGAGCGGTTTGAAACCGGTATAAAGACCCTAATTTGACTGAATTTTCAGCGCCGCAGGTCAATTTTTGAGAAAAGGCCAAAAAAAGCCGTTTTTAGGCAACTTTTGGAAAATTTCGACCAAAAAATCGCGTTTTTTCGGCGCGCGCCTTAGAAAAATTTTAAGGTCAGTCAGCCACAACTAGATATCTCGAAATAGAACAAAGGGGGGACCCTTTGGGTCGGCAGGGGGTTGAATCCTAAAAAAAGAACGTCAGAGCCCCCCCCCCCCCCCAAAAAAAAAAAAAAACCCGCTACTGCTTGAAACTCAGGCCGGTTCCACTTCTTGGGCTGAGTAGTGTTGCCTCACCCTCAACTGTTCAAGTTATTATTCGAGAAAGGGATGCTTAGATATTTTACCATTCGCCAAAACTCCTAATACTTCACCATTTTACCAGTAAATAAAATTCATTTTCGTTGCAAGGGACCTCAAACCGGAGAACCTTATTCTGGACAAGATGGGACACGTGATCATCACAGACTTCGGACTGTCGAAGGAACGGATGAACGAGCTTCCGAATAGCTTGACGAGTACGTTCTGTGGCACCCCCGAGTACCTGGCACCCGAAGTGCTCAGAGGGGAGTCCTATTCGTACCCGATCGACTGGTGGTGTCTCGGCTGTGTGATGTACGAACTGATGTTCGGAGCGCCTCCCTTCTACCACAAGTTAGTTGTGATGCAAAACAGAACTAACTATGAGATGAAATGTGCTAATTGAAAAAACTCCTAATTTTCACTAAAAAGCCGCAACAAAAGTGCTTCACAGAATTCCTTGAAGTTCTTTGGTCGCACAAAAAAACTTTCTTTTCTTAGAGTTAGACGAATTTCTTTTCTTTGAATTTGACAAATTTCTTTTTACGTTAAAAGACAGTTTTGAGGATTTTTAGAGGAATCAGTTCTCTTATTTGGAAACCACTGGTTCGAAGCAAAAACGATGAAACTAGTCAAAATAACGCAAAACAGTTCCGGAAATAATAATCTGCAATTCTGCTTTTTTTGCTCAGAGACCACATTGTGCTGTACGAGGCAATCAAAAGACATCCTCTCAAGTTGAACAGAAGAAACATACATCTCTCGCAGGCAGCGACTGACGTACTCTCCAGTTTGATGGATAAAAATCACTCTTTTCGACTCGGAACAAATGGTGGCGTTAAAGAAATCGAACCAGCACCCGTTTTTCCGGAATCTGGATTTTGCCAAACTTGAGGCAAAACAGGTAGAATGAATGATTAGGGGAAGTATGGTTCAATAAGCAAAACTTGGTTCAAAAAAATTCAAGATCATACCATATCGAAACATTCATAGACAAGAACTTTAAATCGACTATTCACTGATGACGACCGCTAATTTAGGCCTAGAATGTCATTGATTGGGAGAAGTTGAGATACAGTTTCCCGAAACGCGAAGAAAAAAAATAGCAATACACTTTAAGCAGGGGTACAATCAGGGGCGGATCTAGGGTTTTCTCAAAACAGGATATTTTGTCAAAACATGCCAAAAAACACGTTTTTAAGCACTTAATAGAAAATGTTGACCAAAAAATCCCATTTTTTTCTGCACTTTTTTTTCTGCACTTGATCCCTCCTCAAAAATAGTACAAACTGGCGTCAGCCAATCACAGAATGGAGGTGTGCCAAAAAAGAACCAAAGGGGGATCGTTTTGGTGGCGATGGAGTCGAATCCCTGAGGGAGGGGGGATTCTTTGACAACCACGCTCGAACCCCTGGGTTCCTCGACAACCACGCTAATTGGAAATGCAAGTATGCATTCCACGATAGTTTTTTGAGCAACAAGCAACAATTATCAGGCAATAAGTTTGTGCATTCGGGCAACCCGTACAGAAATAAAATAAAAATACAGATATGCCCAGGGTTATTCCATTTGTTGTGAGATTGCATATCTGTCCTGAACTGCATCAGACATGTTCAGACCTGGAAGATACAACAATTTTAATGTTACGCAAAAAAATAAAAATAAAGATATGCCCAGTTTGAATCCATTTGTTGTGAGATTGCATATCTGTCCTGAACTGCATCAGACATGATCAGATCTAGAAATTTGTTTTTTTTTGAAATTTTCGAATGGATTCTTAACTTTTGTCACGTGTCTTGTTTTTTTTTTCGTTGAAAATAGTTATTTTAACAAATAACACGAAAACTCGTTTAAAATCACGTCCTTGTTTTCAGTTTTTAGTGAAGGCGTGGGTAGTAAATATGAACGCCGAAAAACGCTATTTTCTGTTGTAATAACAAATTAGATCAATTGGGTCTTTTCTGTTTCAAACTTCTGGAAAAAAAAATAAAAAAACGGCGGTTGTCAGTAATTGTGGTTCATCTCGTATGTACTTATAAGACTAGAAAGCTTCGTTGTTATTGATATTTCGAGAGAGTCGCCTTAAACACATCCTTACTTCTGGAAACTAAGCAATTTTTGACCACCCTGAAATCAGAGCGATAAAATCTATGGAAGAATTGAAAGAACTAGGAGAGGCTATGAAAGATGACCACCTAAATGAGCCGCCAATTGTTCCAAACTTTTCCCCTTTGGAAGATCCGATTGTTTTGATGTATAAATGTATTTTCAGTTAAATATGGAAGTTGGCTTTGCAATCAAATCATTAGGTCAGAGAAGTGCTCTAAGTTTCTTGAAAACCGACATAAAGATAATCTGGAGTGCCTGTCGAAGAAGTCAAAGGAATCTATGCTCTTTGCAGAATAAGCGCAGCTGAGTCTCCATGCATTCGATTTTGTAGCTGATTACTTGGGCTATAGTTAGGTTATTGATAAGTCAGAATTTTTGATCTTCAAGCAATGCGAGGTCAATGAATTGATGAATCTTCAGGCAATGCGAGGTCGATCAAGAGTCGTTTGTTTTGGAATTTGAAAGCTTAAGCAAGTTTTTGTAGTAATGTTAACGATCATAGAAATATATCCACTGCGCGAGAAGTTTCTTAGAAAGACCCGGAGACATCTTTTCCCCTAAGAATATAGCACTTGAAACTTGAGCCCAATTTTTGTTGCTTTGGATTTTGTCGAGGTCAATCTATGATTACGATTGCTTGTATCTATCATCATACCTCAGGCGATCTCTTGCACTTTTCAACCTCAGGCGATCTTTTCAACCAAGTTTGAGCATGCATGAAAGGGAATGCAAAATTGCGCACAATTTTCATGGCGAAAAACCAGATATTCATTTCGTGCCCAGGAAATTAAACATGACACATGAAGGCAAAAAATTTGAAGCTGAGTTTGTGGAGAAAAGTGTTTCTGTTATACGAGAGTATTTCTACAAATCGCAGGGCCTAAATACTTTACCGGTCATCACCCATATATCGCAAGGTTTAGTAAAAAACGTAAAAGATACATTGATGATAGAAAAAATTCCGATCGAAGGAATAGAGCATCTTTGCCTCAGAGACAGTGGGTCTACGCAAAATAATCTGCCAACAGTGCCCTTTTATGGTATTGACGAAGTTGAATGCGCAGAATTTGGAGTGGTCATATTTTTTTAGGGCTTTCGGGCTACGAAAAAGAAGAACTTGAGCCTTTTTTCTGAAAATTATTTCGAAGTCATGGGCACAAGTCACAATTTCTCAAAAGTTGAAACTATCTTTGAGTCAGAACACAAAGAAAAAGACATGAATCTTTCAAAAATTGACGGTGTTAGATGTCTTAAGGGTACCAAAGGGACTCTCGTTGCGGCGTGAGAGATGTCGTTATTTTTGGTTCTACTTCAAAATGCGACTTGGAAAGAAAGTTCCATGGCAGCACCAGGAAATTGATAAACTTTTCAGAAACTTTTGATAAACTTTTCAGAAACTTTTTCTGAGCCAAGAGAATAGCGAAAACAAGCCATATGTTTTTGATTCACAAGATTATCAAAATGTTTCCCCAGAAGAAGAGGAAATGCCCAATTCGGATGAAATATACTCAAGTTGGGAGATCTGGAAAAATTGAAAAAGAAGGAACAGAAGTATTAACAATATAGCAATTTTTTGAGCAATATAACTCAAAATCTGACTAATGGGCTTTTCTTCAGTTTCCACCCCCTTGTTTTCTCAAATTCAATATTTGAAAATTTTTAAAAACGACTTCTAATGTTATAAGCAGCGTTGGGGGGTTGGAAATTGGAAAAGAGCCCAATTATGTGGTTCATTGTCTTGTTCTTCAACATCTGGCAAGTGTTTTAGTTAAAATATTAAAAATAAAACATTTCAATAAATCTTTTAAACAGCTTGTTTTTTCGCCTTGTTTGCAAAAGAAATTGATCAAAACTGTTTTTAGACCCTTGAATTGATCTGCCCCGGAGTCTTTTTGAAATTTTATTGAGTGGAAATCTATCCAACAAAAACTTGGAAACCAGATCTCAGCATCTTAAAATCTTGCCTTTATCAGATCTTGTCCAGACATGGTGCATGTTTCGTTTGGACATGGACATGTCTGAATCAGGACTGAGGCAGGTATGGATTCTATCACAAAAGCAGATCTGCTCAAGGCCTGATTCAGACCTGGGGCACACATGGGTCAGACCTGGTGCAGATCTGTTCAGATCTGACCCATATATGTTCCAGGTCTGAATCAGACCTTGAGCAGATCTGCTTTTGTGATAGAATCCATACCTGCCTGAGTCCTGATTCAGACATGTCCATGTCCAAACGAAACATGCACCATGTCTGGACAAGATCTGAAATAGGCAAGATTTTACGATGCTCAGATCTGGTTTCCAAGTTTTTGTAAAGTACGGGAAAGTAAAAATTTGCCTAAGATAGATTTCAGGTTAAAACTAAGTTTATCCTCCAATTTTTTTCGGGTAGGGGAATGCTATCTGCCTCTTTTCACACATTCCGTACACTTTAAATTCTCATATAAGAACTTTAGCTTTGAGTGCTGAGAAATAATGAAATGGAGAGATGAAAAATTTCAAGGTATGAAAAAACTGGATTCCGAGAAATCCAAATACAGGGCCACTAAGGGTTAAAAAGAGCATGCTGTTGTATCGCCCTCAACAATCACACATAATTCATCTTGAAAAATGATCAACTTTTTGAGAGGTTTGGGAGAAAGTTTGGGAGAAACTAATGAACACATCATTTATATTAATATAGCTAGTTTTATGAGTTTAGGTACGCTAAATGTTACATTTGATTCAATTTTGAAACACATTTATACAACCTATTGCATAGATTGAAGCACCGTTTGTTCCCGGAGGAGATGACGACTATGCTGGCCATATAGACCCGGAATGGACCGAAATGTCAATTCCGGAATCGGTAACGGGGAAGTTCAACAACCGTTTAAGTGTTGCAGTTTCACCATGTACAGGCAGAGGTTTTGAGGGATTCACGTACAAACGAGTCGTACACGATTTCGACTGAAACGTCCAAAAACCTCATTTCTAACTTTTTATATAAAAAAGTATAATGGAAAACTAACAATTTTATTTTGCTGATACGAATAAATGTCCAAAAATCCCGATTTGATTTATAACATTCTTAAGATTATCTTGGAAAACTAACAATTTCCTTTTGATGAGACGAATGAACATTTCATCTCGCTAAAAATGGTCAATTAAACATAAAGTGCAAATTACAGGGCCTTATTTAGCATGACGGAGTGTATCGCTCTGCCTCAATTGAAAAAACAACCCACTCACCATTGATTTGTTGCTTTGAATTATTTTAAGTTTTGAAGTATTTTACAAAATCCAGTTTTTCCGACCAACCTCTTCTAATTTTTGTAATTGAATGAATGCTAATTTTGAGTAAAAAAACTTCATTACAAGGCGAGACATGTTAAGCAAAAAAATTTTTAAACAAAAGCAGGAAATCATTCCCTAAACGAATTATTTTATTGAGTCATGTTAATCACAACAACCTTTGAGTCGCTTCGGTTGTCTCGGTTTTTTTTCGGCCTGGCTAAATTTTTGTCGCGCCGGTCTCGAGTTGCCATGAGTTTGACTAATAGGTCGAGTCTTCAATTTATCTAGTCGTCCCCATCGCAACGGTTGTGTATCACGCCGGTTGCAGTGATTTGTTCGGCTCGCACCAAGCTTTAAATACCACATTTTTGTCGCACTGGTTTCGAAATGCAATTTTCGCCAATCAAGATAACCGAAGGTCTTACCATTTTCTTAAGTCACACTGGTCGCGATGGTAATGTGAAGCAAACCCGTAGCTCGAGGTGGCACCGATCTTAGTAGGAACCACGCATTTTCGTGAATCGCGCAATTGAAGTTATGATTTCTAATTTCTTTTATATTTGATGTATGAAGCAATTTGATGTAAGTATATCGAATGATTTGTTAAGGTACAAATGAAATTTTAAGGGTGAAAGTAAGCTTAAATAAGCTATTGTAAGCTATGTAGACCAAAAATCAAAAATTTTAAAACGGTTTTTCTCGACACTGGTGTTTTTTCAACACTTTTTAACTGAGATGGCTTTAATATGATATATCACTCAATCCAGTCCGATCATTATTTGTGGTACTTGATTTTGCATGGAAAACAAAAAGCAAAAAAAAACGAAAAGACCCGAATACAAAGTTCCTTGCCATTTTTCAAATAGTCGGAACAATAAGGTATAATGATACTCAGGTTCAAATGGAACAATATTATGATTTATTGTTTTTATTAGTTTTCATAATTTTAGTTTTGGCAGCAAAATTTTCAAATTTGTATTTGAGAGTAGAGCAAATTTTTCAACTCAATTTCTCTCAACTGCGATTTTTGAAATTTTATACCATTTATTGTTCGAGTCGGTCGAAACATTAATCGCAAAACTCGACCCGGGAAGCCGCAACATATCTGTTTTGGGTCGCGCAAAGTTGTGCAAATGATTCGGTCGCACAAAGTCGCAACATACCCATTTTGAGTCGCAATGGCTGCAACATACCCGATATGAGTCGCAATGGTCGCAACATACCCATTTTGAGTCGCATGGTCGCAACATACCCAATTTGGGTCGCAATGGTCGCAACATACCCGATTTGGGTCGCATGATCGCAACATACCCATTTTGAGTCGCAATGATCGCAACATAAGTCCCCGACCTCGAACCGGGGAAATTTTCTTCAGTAGCGTTTCTCTAGCTGTAGACTCCAATCACGTTACCATTAGAACAGGTTTTCTATACTCCACCAGGACATCCCAGAAGTCTTTGTGAAACTCATCCATATCAAATAATTTGGTCTGGTTATGATTGTAGAGACAAACATCCCAAAGTTTTTTTGAGCTCAACTAAATCAAATGACTTGGTCAGGATTTGGTCTGTAGAAACAAGTAGAAACAAACTCCACTGCATCATAAGACTCAAGGTATTCAAGAAGGCTGACTTATTCCTGCCGAAAGTTTTGCCCACTCTAGGGATTTCACTCAAGGTATATACGCTATGCCCCTAAGTAACTCTAGATTCTTGCGAAGAGCTCCAAAGGAGTTTTCGGTGTGTCCGCCAAATCAGAATTGTCAATCCGTCGAGTTGTTCATTGGTGTTCACAGGGCTATAGATTATCGTTGTTCACTGGAACTTGCCTGAAAAGTGGCCCAGATTTCACTAACCGTTA